TTATGGAGACAGGTTTAGGCACTGAGTTTGTGGAACCACCATCCTCCATGTCAAAGTTGTGCAAGACTGCAGCCAATGACACAAAGGATAATGTGAGGCCTGATAGAAAGCAGTTGTAGAATGGGGGATTCTACCATAAGTGGTGTGGAGCTGGATAATAGTGACCTTGTGAGATATCTTCCTGGAGCTACGGCTCACAGAGACAGGAGACGTATTTGTAATATTGTTAAGCAAGCAAAGCAGGAAAGGAAATTGGATGTACTTGTCCATCTAGGGACAAATGACTTGGCTTGCAATAAGGTTTCAGAGGTAAATGAAGTTTTTTTGTGTTTTTGCCAATGATATACGGCAGGTTGCTTCCACGCTGTCATTCTCTGAAGTTCTGCCTGTGCATAACACTCAGAACGACAGGTGGATGCGTATTAGGGCCTTTAACTTGTGGCTTGCTGAATGGTGTTGGGAGCAAGGATTTGGCTTCATTTCTCATGGTAGCTCTGTTTGGAATGGAAGTAAACTTTACAAAACTTTACAAAAAATGGTTTGCATCTTTCTCAAAAGGGAACAAATGTTCTCAGTGAGCAGTTGAGAGGTTTTGCTAGGATGCATTTAAATTAGGGGTGGCAAAAGGGTGATCAAACATCAATCCAATGGCCCCCAAAAACAAGGACAGAAGGTGCCTGTAGCAAGTGTGTTAAAACATGGTAAGCTTAGAGTCATGTCTACAAATGCTTGCAGTTTAGTTAATAAGATCCATGAACTTGTGGCAATAATGGGAACTGATAGTGTAGATTTAGTCGCTGTTACTGAGACATGGTATAATGAGAAAAATGACTGGGATATAGCAATACCAGGGTACTCTTTTTATAGAAAAGACAGGGAAGGCAAGAAAAGGGGGAGGGGTGGCCCTGTATGTGAAGGGTAGCATAACATCTAGCCTAATAAAAGTTAGTAACTCATGTAGGTGTGATTTGTAGGCCCCCAGGACAAATAGAAGAGATAGATAATCTATTAGTTGAGGAAATAGCTAAAATGACAATGAAGGGGGAAGTTATCATCATGGGTGACTTTAATCTTCTTGGTGTGAACCATAAAAACAAAATAGCTGCTTGTGCCAGGAGCACACATATTCTAAACTCCCTACTGGGATTGTCTCTAAAACAAGTCGTTGAGGAGCCAACTCTTAAAGAGGCCATACTAGATTTAGTGTTAACAAATGGAGATTTGGTATCAGATAGTACTGAAGATGAAAGTTTAGGATATCGTGATCATCAGGCGGTGTGGTTTAATATAAGAACGAAGACTGAGTCACACCACACAAAAACTTTTGTTAGACTTTAGAAAAACAGACTTTTCTAAAATTCGAATCTGTGTAAAGGAGTCATTATCAGACTGGAGCAGTTTAAATGGAGTCCATAAGAAATGGGATTATTTAAAAGTGACGCTGCTGAAGGCAACAGAAAATTGCATTAGGCTTGCCAGTAAAATAAAAAAAATTAAAGAAACCACTGTGGTACTCCGCAGATGTGGCCAAAATAGTAAAAAACTAAAAGTTAGCATTTAGTAATTGTAAAAAAACCCAGAGTGAAGAAGATAGACAGATCTATAAGATTAGGCAGAAAGGGGTTAAGCAAGTTATAAGAGCTTCCAAATCACACACAGAAGATTGCCCAATCATTGTTAACAGGAGTAGTCCCAGAAGATTGGACGTTAGCGAATGTTGTGTCCATTTACAAGAAAGGTAGTAGGGAGGAGTCGGGCAACTATAGGCCAGTAAGCCTTACTTCAGTTGTGGGGAAAGTGATGGAAACCATGTTAAAGGATAGGATTGTTGAACATCTAAAAACACATGGATTTCAAGATCAGAGACAACATGGGTTTACTTCAGGGAGATCATGCCAAACTAATTGGGTATAGATCAGGGTAATGCAGTAGACATTGCTTACCTAGATTTCAGTAAGGCTTTTGACACTGTTGCACATAGAAGGTTTATCAATAAACTGCAATCTTTACATTTGGATTCCAATATTGTTGAATGGGTAAGACAGTGGTTGAATGACAGGCAACAGAAGGTTGTAGTCAATGGAGTATATTCAAAGCATGGTCTTGTTGCCAGTGGGGTACCTCAAGGATCTGTACTTGGACCCATTCTCTTTAATATTTTTATTAGTGATATTGCAGAAGATTTTGATGGTAATGTATGTCTTTTTGCTGATGATACTAAGATATGTAACAGTGTTGATATTCCAGGAGGGATAAGCCAAATGGCAAATGATTTAGGTAAACTAGAAAAATCGTCAGAGTTGTGCCAGCTGACATTTGATAAGTGCAAGATAATGCAAGATAATGCAAGATAATGCATCTTTTACGTGAAAACCCAAGGGCAGAGTACAGAATATTTGATAGAGTCCTTACCTCAACATCTGAGGAAAGAGATTTAGGTGACTTAAAGGTAGGCAGACATTGTAATAGAGCTGCAGGAAAAACTAGCAGAATGATTGGTTGTATAGGAAGGGGAATTAGCAGTAGAAAGAGGGAAGTGCTCATGCAATTTTACAGAACACTGGTGAGACCTCACTTGGAGTAATGTTCGCAGTACTTATAGGCCATATCCTTATAGCAAGAACTTCATGCTTACCCAGAGATTGGAAAACATCTAATGTACCTTCTCTTAAGGAAGTGCTACATTTGTCTTTACACAATAAATTACATTAGTTAGCTCTTAGACATCATTCATCAGTCTTTAATCAACTCCAATATGGTTGGAATTATTTGGAAAATGATGTTAATAAAACTTTTCATTTGTGACTTACAAATTATGGTATCATAATGTAGTATACCTAACAATGCAATGAAGATAGTTTATTGGGCATGTCATGCCACTTAGTGAAACATGGTTTTAGTGCTTGATGAAATGATTGTGAAATGGTTTAAAACGTTTGTTCTAGTGGATCGAAACTCTCAATTCTCCAAGGTTTTTTTTCAATTTTCTAAGGGGTAATGGAATTTGGCCAAGTTGAACAGCAGCATGAACTAATTTCTGATGACTTGAAACTTGTGGGGTTTTTTGCCAAAGTGGTTAACAAGTGTTGCAGGCTTCCTCAGGTCTCAGATAATACAGGGACACACTCCAAACACAGGTCATTGGAAGAACAAAGCTGTTTATGCATTTGCAGCTGCAAAGTCCCAGTGCCTTTTGAAATACACAATACACTGGACCCCGAGCCATAAGAGAACAAAGAATATATACCACAAACGACGTACTCCATACATATAGAGAATTACACCCAACTGCAGCATATTTTAACCAGTAGCAAGCTATTATTTTGTCACTACATGTATTAGCCACTGGAAAAAAGACAGGAAAGGGCTGTGCCACATATAATAAAATAAGAACAAAAGTACTGAGAGTCTTGTTCCAGCTGTGCAAATATAGGCGTGTCTTTATCCAAAAAGTTGGTTCAACTGTGATTCCTAGGTTCTTTATGCTTGGGGGATGTGGAAGGTCAAGGTGTCTTTGGTCTCTGTTTGTCGGTAAAGAAGAGACAAGATAACCTGCAATATGTCAAGGCTTAATAGGCCATGTATAGGTAAAAATGGTATTGCACTCACATATAAGAGAGCTATTACCAGCTCTAGTGTAAATTGCCTATAGCGGTATAATCCCCACTTGTGGGATATGGTGACAGTTAATCACAGCAGGTGGTTGTCTAGGTACTTGGAGCGGAAATAAAACTAGCCACAAATAGTGCTCTCAGTAAAACAGTAATAGCTGTATAAAATATAAAAAGATAGTACTCACAAGTGTAGAGCAGGCTTACTGCTTTATGATGATAGCAGTGGTGGTATGGTTTTCTTGAGAGTAAAAATAGATGAAGATGAGAAAAAACTCTGTAATCCTGCACTGCAGTCCACATTTTGTACCCCTGTTCTTGCAATATATATAATTTTTCTCTTGTGTCATTAACAGTACATCATTAAAGGAACTTCTAAATTAAGTTTTTATGGTACCAGGAGGCCCATGAGCACATTCTTACCTTAGGGGGTTAAACCGTTCTCACTCTGAACCGTTTAACCCATGGTTGCCTCCAGCAAAGATCTCAACATTCACCCGACGGTATCTGGCTTGTGAATTTTCAGTTTCAGGGAATGCGGAGTGCTGCCGGGCAGGAGCACTGCTGATTGTTTGAGATTGATCAGCTGAGGCTCTCAGCCAGTCAGTGAATCCCCATTTACAAAACTGGTTTGAAAAAGTTACGTTTCTTTTTAAGTTTTGTGAATGGGGAGGCACATATTGGCTCATAGTGTTCACTGATCGCTCTCAGCCCATCAGTGGCGCCCCTGCCTGGGGGTGACTCAGTGCTTCCTGAAACGGAAATTTCAGAAGACAGATGCCTTCTGGGAGTTGAGGTCATCGCTGGAGGCAACTTTGGGGTTAAACCGTTCATAATAAGAATGTTCAAACTGTAGCTGTTCATCAGCTGTTGTATTTCAGAAATAGTTGGAAGTCTTCAATGGTCAGAGACTTTAGTGTTGTCAAATGTGATTAGAAGTGTGTTATATCACAACATTCAAATTTTCTTCAGAATTTTTTTTTTTTTTCATTGACTTGCACATTTCCGAAAATATGGGATGATTTGAGCAAATGTTTTCATCAAGGTTGCCCCTCATAGTAATGTTGTGGTATAGAGAATATGATTTAACTGAAGCAAATACATAAACATAACATTTTAAAGAACTTACATCTGTGTTGTATATATCATATTGAAGACTCAATTAGACATGTATAATAAAAATAGAAAACATTTTTTAAATGATACTGTTGATTTAACAGGAAGACAGTAAACATATTGCATGGATGTATGCAAGAACACCAGTGACAAATATTTTTGTATTTTGTGACCTAGAGTTTCTAAAAAAAAATGGTTCAAACGTTTTTTGACCAGTGCAGGGTTGCTAATGTGAAGGACTGTGCCAAAGTAAATTCTTTATAGGGAATCATTAACATGACTAGAAAACTTATATAATCAGAGGTAATCATAAAACCCTGTCACTTGTCCATTCGTGATTTTTCGTCTTCAAGAGGATGGAGACGGCAGGCACAGTAAGTTTGGAGACTGATTTTTGTAGTAGATGGTTCATGAAGGCCTGTGATGCTATGACGAATTCTCAATTTTTAGTCAAACATCTCTCCAACAACCAGTAAATAGGCAATAAGCTACACACAATGCATTAGAAATAATGCTAAACAATCCATAAGCAAATGTATATAAGATATATAGTTCGCTTAACAAGATCCTTAGAGAGCTAGTGTTGTATGTATTGTGTATTTTATTACATGGAGCCAACACTGGCTGTGCACTGTTTATTGATAGGGCGCCTTATACCTGCTTTACCCATAGTGGGGGTCATATTGACACCACAGGCTTTTTTTAAATGATATGCCTGCTGGTTGCTAGTGTTGCCATCAGAAAAAAAAGCATTTGACACTTTTTGTTTTTATTGACTTTATATAATAAATATAATTTTTTTTAAACGGTCAATATCTCCTGCTATGCAAATAGTTCTGTACAAATATATGTTATGAAGATGTAGAGATTGAAGTACTTGAACGTCAAAAAAGAAAAACAGTAAACAGAGAAAGATTAGTGATTTGTTTGGATACTTTTTCAAGAGCTTGAATGTGTTGAAGTAAATGACTAAACTTTCTGAGCTGTTCTTCAAAATGCAAAATTAGGCATTAATGGGTATTGTCCAACAGAGGCAATAAGTATGGGCTAGTTTATGATCTAACTTCTTGTTAAACAAATTTGAGGAAAGTGAGATATAAGAAAGTGTTAAAAATAGTCATTCATAACTACAAATATTACCTCAGATCATGAAAACCTCCTTACTAGGCTTGCTCACTGTGATAAAACTCAGTTCTCTGATAAATTCAGGTGAAAATTTAGTTTTTAAATTTGTATTATTTGATCGAATTTTAGCGATGCTGCAGTTTGGCTTATCTGAATATTGGCCAACTCCAACCGAATAGCATGGTATTTTATCGTCTTGATTCCAAAATATCAGTCACATTCTCCTTGGATCAATAAACTGTGACACACAATATCATATATCGTATATCATATATAAGATCCTTGAATATTCTGTTTTTGCAAAAATAAACACTGCAATCTTACTTTGCAGCTATGTAACTTATGCATGTGGGAGAATCTTAATATAACACATTTCTGTTGCATCAGTGGCGTACATACCACGGTCGCAGGGGTCGCAGCTGTGACTGGGCCCGTCACTCCAGGGGGCCCGGCCTCCCTGTGGACCCCCATGACCGGGTACCATCTGCCACGTTTTACGGCTGCGGTGCGCGTGGCAAGCCGCCGGGACCGCATGTTAAGGGGTCCATCGGGTGGCCCATGGATCAGTTTCGCACCGGGGCCCAATGGATTGTGTGTACGCTACTGTGTTGCATAATGAATATTTACATCATGATTTCTTATGCTTTATTTAAAGGTCATCAAATGCAGGGCAGCTGTTACCTGGTGTGTTAATGAACCATTCTCAATTGAGGTGGTGGAAGTGGCACCCCCAAAAGCCCATGAGATACGAATTAAGGTAAACAAATAAGATCTTCATTAAATTTAAAAATAAAAAATCTGGTCTACCTAAGCTACATATCTACACATGTACATAGAAGGTGCACTTTTAGAGACTAATCTTAATACAATTGTTTTCAAGTGGCCAAAATTGTTTTACGGTAGCCCAAATTAAATTTCAATGCCTGACAAAACATAAATGTTCCCTTTTTTTAAACTTTTTTATATACGCCATTATTATTATTTTATTATTATTTTATTATTTATATAGCGCCATCACATTCCGTAGTGCTGTACACTGGGTGGACTAACAGACATGTAATTTTTACCAGACAATTGGACGTACGGGAACAGAGAGGTGGAGGGCCCTGCTCAATGAGCTTACATTCTAGAGTGAGTGTGGTATAGTGACACAAAGGGTAAAAGTAGGGGTAAGAAGTAGGTTGTTAGAAAAGTATTCATTGAGGGCTTAGTAGGTAATTTTTGACAGTTGCAGGAGAGGAGTTATGGGGGTGGAGGATAAAAACCTGCTTACAGTTTAACTGAAATGCTTTCTTGAAGAAGTGAGTTTTCAATGATTTTTTGAATGAGTGGAGACTGGGTGAAAATCTTACAGAGAAGGGAAGGGCGTTCCACCGAAGAGGTACAGCCCTGGAGAAATCTTGGAGGCGAGCATTAGAGGTGGGAGTACAGACAGAGGATAGACGTAGGTCTTTGGCAGAGCGTAGGGGCCTCGACGGGACATACTTGTGTATTAGGGAGGATAGGTAGGTTGGAGCAGCATTATGTAGGGACTTGTAAGCAATCACCAGAATTTTAAATTGAGCCCTATATTTAACTGGAAGCCAGTGCAGGGACTGACAGAGCGGGGAAGCGTGGGAGGTGTGAGCGGACAGGAAAATGAGCCTCACCATTGCATTCATTATAGATTGCAGCAGTGCAATCTGGGAACACGTAAGACCACTGAGAAGGGTATTGCAGAAGTCAAGGCGAGAGAGAACAAGAGCATGGACCAGCACCTTAGCCGCATCTGGGGTTAAATAGGGGCGAATGCGTGCTATGTTTTTGAGATGGAAGCGACAGGATTTGATGATTGATTGGATATGAGGGGTGAAGGAGAGGTTGGAGTCAAAAAGAACACCCAGGCAGCGAGCCTGTGAGGTAGAGGTGATGGTAGCACCGTGCCTGTGAGCCTGTGAGGTAGAGGTGATGGTAGCACCGTTGACTTGGAGGGAGACAGACACAGGAGTAGTAACACATGAGGGAGGAAAGACCTGAAGTTCTGTTTTGGACAGGTTGAGTTTAAGGAAGTAAGCAGCCATCCAGTTGGAGATCGAAGAGAGGCAGTCAGAGACACGAGTCAAGATGGGTGGAGAGAGATCAGGAGAGGACAGGTAGAATTGATTGTCATCCGCATAGAAATAATAACGGAAGCCAAAGGAGCTGATGAATTTCCCAAGGGAGGCAGTATAGATAGAGAACAGTAGGGGACCAAGGAGAGAACCTTGGGGGACGACAACAGAGAGTGGTTGGGGGGAAGAGACAGAGTCAGAGAAAGAAACAATGAAAGAGTGCTGGGAGAGGTAGGAGGAGCACCAGGAGAGAGCAGTATCCCGTAGACCAAAATTACAGAGAATGCGAAGAAGCTGTTGATGATCAACAGTGTCAAAGGCAGCAGAAACATCAAGGAGAATTAGGATAGAGTAATGGCCGCGAGATTTAGCAGTGATTAAATCGTTGGATAATTTGGTCACAGCCGTTTCGACAGACTAACCAGCGTGGACTCCAGACTGAAGGGGGTCAAGCAGAGAGTAGGATTCGAAAAAGTCAGTCAGTCTGATGTACACAACTCTCTCGAGGATCTTGGAGGCAAATGGCAATAGCGAGATAAGGCGGTAGTTGGATGGGGAGTTGGGGTCAAGGCTGGGCCCTTTCAGAATTGGGGTTACAGTTGCATGTTTGAAGGAAGAGGAAAATGTGCCAGAGAAGAGGGAGAGATTGAAGATTTTAGTGAGAGGAAGAGCAAGAGAGGGAGACAAAGTGCGGATGAGAGGTGGTGGGGTGGGAGGACCGGAGCAGAGCACGAACCTCTTCTGCTGTAGCAGGTGCAAATGAGTGTAGAATGGTGGAGGGAGTGGGGTTGGGTGATGTATTGGTAGGGGAAGGAGAGAGATTAGCGATCTCTTCTCTGATTGTAGAGATCTTCACAGTGAAGTGTGATGCAAAGTTTGTGGCGGAGAAGGTGGTAGAAGGAGTGGGAGTAAAAGGGCGAAGAAGAGCATCAAAAGTGTGAAATAGGTGTTTAGGTTGCTGGGACAGTGTATTTATGAGGGTGTTAAAGTAGTATACTTTTGCAGCGGAGAGAGCCAGGCTGTATGAGCGTAGCATAAATTTATAGTGGAGGAAGTCAAATGCAAAGTGAGACTTTCTCCAGCAGCGTTCAGCAGTTCCACAACATTTTTGGAGGTAACGGGTGAGCTTGGTGTGCCATGCTTTTAATTGGGGGCACTTGCTGCGTGTAATTGCGAGAGGTGCCATGATGTTGGAATGATGTCCCTGTATTATATTCTCTTTAGTTGCAATTTAGTTCAAAATTATTTCTTAGATTTTTAAGTGCAAACTTGACATACTTATCACTTACCCCATGTCTTGGATTTTAGTTGATAGTCTTAATTTCAGGCCCCTTTGGTGAGTGAGTCACTATACACGATCTGACTGCATGAAATAAAAAAAATAAATCAAACAGGGTTATTCACTAAAGTGAGAACTGTCAGGATCTCTAAGTAACTACCAAATTTAAGGCCAAAAAATTTGCATTGGAATCATAGCTGACTTTTTTTCAGTGCTGCTATTTCGATCTTAAGTTATACATTTATTTTGCAATTCCAAATTTAAGGTCAAAATAGCTGATCTAAAAAGAAATTTCAAGGCCACTATGCTTTCACGCTATTTTGGCCTTAAATTCTGAAATAAGCTATTACAGGCAGATGGGCTACTTCATGAATAGAGCACTATCCATGTCGTTGTTGGGAAACAAAAATACTGGTAATTCACACTTTAGTTCATAACCGTGAGAGGGGCTGTGACATAATAAAATGATACTGAAAGCTGCTGCTGGCATTTTAATAAAGCCCTTAACTGGTATTTGCAAGTAGTCATACATTTTCTTTTACTTAAGCTTCTCCTTTGCAATATCTGTTTGAAGAGAGGATTGGATTTAAATAAAGTATATCTAATCTGCACAATGGCAATGTAGCTTTAAAAAACTGCTTTTTTTCATATCTAATTATAGAAAGTGGTGTTAATCAATATCCCCAAAACAAATATCTTTGAATGCATTGGATTACCTGCAGTTAGTATGCAAGGCCCTTTGGGATGCAAAAAGCGGTGAAACCAATCTAAAAAATAATATTCTATATATTCCTTCATTTAGATGGTATATACAGGAATATGTGGCTCTGATGATAATGCAGTTTATGGAAAATTTAAAGACATGCAGTTTCCAATCATTCTTGGTCATGAAGGAGTTGGTATTGTAGAGAGCATTGGTGGTGGAGTAAAAGGATTTAAACCAGGTAAGACGGCCCTTTCACAACTATCAAACCTGTATCAATGCATTTTGTACAGATTGAAAATCAAATATTTAGATGTCTGCCAGATTATGAAATTAAAGATTCTGGACAATTAGCATTTTGGGGCATGATTCTTTTTATTACTTCTTATTGGGCTAGCCAAATAAACAACATAAATTAATAATAAACTACCTACCCACCCAAATACATGTACCATTACCCCATCAAATGGAACATCAGGACATTTTACAATTATTCACTAAAAGAAAATGTGTCTACATTATGATTTATGGACAACTGGGAGGAGTATAAAAATAAGGGAAGGGCTCAAGGATTTATGTTTAAGGGAAGGAAAGTCAGAAGAAATTACATTTTTTCTGAAAGGGGGTGGACCCATTTATTTTCTTCCTTTTCAATGTGCATAATATAATTCCCTCCTCGATAGGGTTTTTTAAGCACTTTTATCCCAAGTAAGGTTAAACCTCTGGGATCCATATTATGGCATACCTCTACTGAAAATTTTTAGGGACTTTTAATCTAGCAATTTTTGCTTTTATATTTATTGTATTTATGTGGAAATAAAGATTTTTTGAAGATTGGAATCTTTTGGCTGCCTAATCTTCTGTATCATTGGTCCACCCTTCAGTTGGATGCTGTAGGGTGGTGGAGAGGAGCATCTATAGCTTGAGTAGGCTTATCTGCTTTGCACTTTGAGGTGTGATACACTTGACATTGGTATTACACGTGTTTGCAATTTTTTATCACTTATTATGTATTTTGCACTTTGGATTGCAGTTGCACTTTAAGAATTTGTGCACTTTGAGTTTATTGTGCAATTTTTGTATTAGTTTTTACACTACACTTATAATATTTTGTTGAGACAAAGCACACCTATTTGTATGTATCTAAAAAGACAAGATCTTATCCAATATGTACTTATAACAGTTATATGATATATGAAATTATACATTTGCACAATTAGTATGGGTATGGGGGAGGGTAGGGTTGGTTGTTTCTTATTTTTATATTACGTACTCTTTTAAGAAAGAAAGGTTTTTCATCATTTATTGCAAGGAAACATCTTCTGTATTTAATGCCATTTAGCAGATGTTTCAGCTTTTTAATTTTACATATATATGGCTGAGCTCCCCAATGGATGAATATCTTTCCTTGTTTGCAGTGCAACTTTAGTTTAGTTTTTTTCTGCTGTCATTAGTTAATTGTTATGTGTTTAAATGGACACTGTATTGCATTCAGCCTTTTATAAAGTGTGAGAATGCACAAAGCTTGTTAGGCTGTCAGTGCCCATACTATTTATACAGTTTTTTTTCTTTATTTTTCGTTGTGTTTTTTGGCTGTATGCACATCTCTTTTAATATGATTTAAATAAACATGATGGCTTTACGAGAATTATTATGATGTTGGCCTTGTATAGCTAACTGGAGGCTCTGGCGCATCCCCTTTGACATGCCTAGACTTAGCGACAATTACAGCCAGGAAACTTGGAAAATCTCCTACCACTTGAATATGTTAGGATGAGAAATCTGGTAGTAGTGCATTGGGCATTCACTTGCTCTGTTGGAATCAGATTTGGGATTGGTCTGATAACCTCATTATTTATAGCTATAAATCTCCCTCCTCCCGCCAAAGTTATAGGGGATGGTTGAAAGGGAGAGAGGATATTGCCTTAGGCATGCACATAAACGACAAGCTACACTGGCAAATCAACTAATCATGCTGTGTTTATAGATCTGTATAATTAATGTCCCTCAGGCAAACATCTGTCACGGGTTTGAGGTGAATGGGCTTGGTATGCAGAGATTTTATAAGGACACAGTCATTGAATTAAAGGTTTTATTTTGAAAACAAATACAAATAATGCAAAAGATCCAATGCAAGTATAAACAGTAAAGGTGGAGTTCTTACCACTGTCTGTTAAACTTCCTGACCACCTAGACGAATGACGTTCGGGAGATATGATCTACCGACTGGGAGGAGCATTCGCTCCCTAAAAGCGTTCGTCGGTGTTCGCACAGGAACCCCCAAAAGTCGACCGGCCATCTGGAACTGTTTTGGGCTATCACCTCGTGGCTGGACGGTCAGAACTTTACACGAGTAGCAATTTCGTTCTACAAAACCGATCTGAGTGCTTTCTGGATATGTTGGGTGCTCAGATCAGAGTTATTCTGGGATATATTTTCTGTGGGGTTCCTGTACTGTTTTCATTTATTATTGGGGTATTGGAAAAATATTGCATAAGTTTCTGTATTTGAGAGATAATTGAGTTATCCTAATTACAACACAATTATCTCTCAAACACAAAGGCTCCTGGGAAGAAACCCTTGTATTCTAGATGTGTATACCCCATGCTAGGGGCCACTGCATAAAAGCCATGTGTGGCAGAATAAAGTTCAGTCGTACTCCCAGAACTGTGTGTAGTCCATTTACTGTTGAGGTGGGCTATTCACTTGGCAAGTTTCTTGTTCTTGAGTTCAATTATTGATGATCCAGCGGAGGAAAATCCCAATCAGGACTAGGGCTCAGCTATAGAAGGCTCCTCTGGGTAATTAGGTGTCCACACCTCCCTATGTGGGTAGGATGCTATATCCGTTTGTTAACTGAAAGCCACTGTTCCCCACACCGCTTCCAGGAAAACCTATTTGGGTTCCCCAGGGTTCTGATAGCCTGTGGGGATCCTGGGGCAGTGTGTGGAGTACATGGCATACATGCCACCTAGTCTGTCGCCAGAGGGAAGGTACGCTTGCAGATGGACAGAGTTTGTGTCCCTTCCCCTGCATGCCGCAACCCACTTGGTGCGTCTGCGGGGCCCAGGGTGACTGCAGAGGCAGCGGCGCCTTGTGCCAATGGCATGCCTCCGAGGAGTTGAGAAGACAGCCGGCCACCGAGAGGTAGGTGAAGCACATTCCTCACTCCCAGGACGCCAAGAAACACGTGGCATCTGGTGTGCCGTGACAACACCTCTTTTAATTACATGACATGCAATCTACATTCCATAACTAGAGTTAGTGTCTCAGAAAATCTTTTCATGAATTGTGGTAGACTGGTTCATGATCCAATTATTTTTTTCTATCTTTAGGTGACAAGGTCATTCCACTTTTTGCACCTCAATGTGGACAGTGCCGATGCTGCAAAGATCCAAGGACCAATATCTGCACTACAGCTCGGTTAGTACTATCTCTTAATAACCCTTCAGATACTTTCCCAGCCAGAAATTAAGCTTACAGGCTTATTATTTCCAGGCAGAGATTTTGGACCCTTTTTTGAGTATAGGAACTACATCTGACTTTCTCCAATCCTCTGGTACAATTTCTGAAAGTGAAGATTAAAAAGAGGTTTGCTTATTGCAGACTTAGCTCCCTAGATACTCGTGTTTGAATACCATCTGGCCCTGGGGTTTTGTTGACATTAACTTTCTTTAGTTGCTGCAGCACCTTGTCTTGAGCCATCAAATCACAATTTTCTGTAAGTTTTTGCAGCAATTATTTTATTTTATGATATGATACATACTGATGAAAAATATGTTTTTTTTTAAATTGCTGCCTTTCCCTGGTTTTCATTTTACTAACCCATACTTTCATTCTTGTTTTTATTTTTTATTTTTAGAATATATGCACTTAAACTTTTGTCTAGCACTCTTTCACCATCTCTTTTTCATATTCTAGTTTAGCCCATCTAGTCACCTTTATACAGGTATGATTTACTTCCTTATATTTTAAAAAGGATGCCTTTAATTTGTCTGATTTAAATGCTTTAAATGCCCTTCTTATTTTTTATTCGTCACTTGCCTTCCTACTAAGCTACATTGTATAGCTACATTGTGTTTCAGTATGTTTCTTTTACATTTATTACCCAAGGCTATATAAGGAGAAGTGTAAGGAAGGAGAAAAAGGTGGTAAAATGACAAAGAGCACTCTGATTGGCTTAAACCAGCCAATCAGAGTGTTCTTAGCCTAATTGCAGGGCGGGGCCACAATGATTAAACCCGATAGAGACTCTTCAGACTTTCAGACACTAAGAGAAATTCAGTGATGGGTGTCGGAATATAGTATGCTAAGGCCACGAAACAAGAGCATATGGTGGCCCTAACTGTTCTGTTTAATATGACCACATATTTCTGTACTTGGTTTCATTCTCCCTTCATATCAGTGTCTTTTTCACTCCTTCTTCACCCCTGTCTATATGTATATATGTTCTTTTTGTGTGTGTTTAATTGGACTTCCCTGTCCCTGGCTCATCTCATTCTCTCCTGGAGTTTTTGTATGGATGGCTTCTTAACTCCATGTTAGTTTGATTATTATTATTATTATTATTATTTTATTATTTATATAGCGCCAACAAATTCCGTAGCGCTGTACAATGGGTGGACTAACAGACACATAATTGAGATCAGACCACTGACGTACAGGAACAGAGGGGGTTGAGGACTCTGCTCGATGAGCTTACATGCTAGAGGGAGTGAGGTATAGTGACACAAAGGGTTAAAGTAGGGGAATTAAATAGTTTGTTACAGAAGGGTTTATTGAGTGCTTGGCAGGTCATTTTTGACAGGTGCAGGAATGGAGTCGTGGGGTGGGGGATGAGAAACCTGCTGACAGTTTAATTGATACGCTTTAATGAAGAAGTGAGTTTTCAAAGATTTTTTTGAAGGAATGGAGGCTGGGTGAAAGTCTGATTGAGGAGGGAAGGGAGTTCCACAGAATAGGTGCAGCCCTGGAGAAGTCTTAAAGGCGAGCATCAGAGGTGGGGATCCGGGCAGAGGATAGGCGTAGGTCTTGGGCTGAGCGCAGGGGTCTCGCCGGGACATACTTGTGTATGAGGGAGGATAGGTATGTTGGAGCAGCATTATGTAGGGATTTGTAAGCAAGCGCCAGAATTTTGAATTGGGCCCTATATCTAACTGGAAGCCAATGCAGGGACTGACAGAGCGTGGAGGCGTGGGAGGTGCGACCGGACAGGAAAATAAGCCTTGCAGTCGTATTCATTATAGATTGCAGTGGTGCAAGCTGGGAACATGTAAGACCAGTGAGAAGGGGATTGCAATAGTCAAGGCGAGAGAGAACAACAGCATGAACCAGTACCTTAGCCGCGTCCGGCGTTGGATATGGGCGGATGCGCGCTATGTTCTTCAGTTGGAAGCGACAGGATTTGGCTATCGATTGAACATGGGGAGTAAAAGAGAGATCAGAATCAAAAAGAACCCCTAGGCAGTGAGCCTGGGAGGTAGAGGTGATAGTAGCGCCGTTGACTTGGATGGAGACGGGAGTAGCAGCACTTGAGGGAGGAAAAACTAGAAGTTCTGTTTTGGACAGGTTGAGTTTAAGGAAGTGGGCAGCCATCCAATTGGAAATAGCAGAGAGGCAGTCAGAAACACGAGTCAAGGTGGGCGGAGAGAGATCAGAGGAGGACAGGTAGATTTGCGTGTCATCTGCATATAAATGGTATTGGACGCCAAAAGAGCTGATGAGTTTACCAAGGGAGGCAGTATAGATAGAGAACAGTAGGGGGCCGAGGACAGAACCTTGGGGGACGCCGACAGGGAGGGGTTGGGGAGAAGAGGCAGAGCCAGAGAAAGAAACACTGAAGGAGCGCTGGGAGAGGTAGGAGGAGCACCAGGAGAGAGCAGAATCCCGTAGACCAAAGTTACGGAGAATGTGAAGAAGCTGTTGATGATCAACAGTGTCAAAGGCGGCAGAAAGATCAAGGAGGATTAGGATAGAGTATTGGCCGCGAGATTTAGCAGCAATGAAATCGTTGGATACTTTGGTCACAGCAGTTTCGACAGAGTGACCAGCGCGGAATCCAGACTGAAGGGGGTCAAGCAGAGAGTTAGATTCAAGAAAGTCTGTTAATCTGACGTAGACAACTCTCTCAAGGATCTTGGAGGCAAATGGCAGTAGCGAGATAGGACCATAAAACCATAAATGTTCATGGTTTTATCGAGTTCCTCTCAAATGAATCATTATGCTGAGTTTGGAGTTTTTTCCCAGCACCTCACATCTTTATTTTTGGCCTCGTATACCTTAACTTTAAGTTGTGCCCCTCTCTCTTACCAGCTCACAAGCAATGCACCGGCCTTCTGGACTTATGAGCCTTAGCACAGTTACGGAGGGAGGATAAGTTTGTTATTTATTGTATACTACTTTAACTTATATTGCCATATGTGACTGTTGCTTTGCGTAAAACAAAATAGAGAAGAAAAAAAAGAAGGGAAGAGAAAAAAAAGTAAAGAAAAATATGGAAAGAAAAATTAGTATTGTATATGGGAAAATAAAATAAAAAAAAAAAACTGTTAAAAAATAAGAAAACAGAAAATAAAGGCTAAAAAGATGAGTGTTATGATGGGGGGCCTGCAGATAGCCTTACTTACTCCATGTTTTTGTTTATTCTTTAGTCATTCTGTATGTTTGAACATTTTGATAGTGACATTCTTTGGTCCTCTCTGATTAATATCTCTAAGGGGGAGTCCGTCTCCACTGGTTGCCTTTCTGTATTACTCCTTTTAATTAGACATGCAGTGAGGCAATTGTTCCCCAAATATCTTTTCTTTATTTTACGATCATACCACATTTATATTGCTATCTTTATTTGGAGATGATGCCAAATTGTTGTCTCTGGAGTTCCCACTTCTACCACTTCTACTAATGGGTCAGAACCTGACCATTAACTTTTGTAAACATGCACTTAATCTACAGATTGAGGGGTGTATTGTGCTGGGTTCCTTGTCTGCCTTATCTTATAATTTGGGTCATTATTTATGCTTCTTTTTTATTTATTTTGATTTATTCTTACTGTTTAGGAGAACTGCCTATTATTCTGTATGGATAAGGTGTCTTGCTTATTCATCTTTTCATGATACATATTAAATCTGGTATATTTGCGCAACTACCCTTTACTTATTTTCTGTTAGCGATGACATGGTTGTACTTACCCAGGTAGAGGAGGATTAAGTTTGCCCTCATTCTTTAATTATTACAGATTCATATACCTTATGAGACTTGTGGACTGGCATTACATTGCTTCTTCCAAGCATTAGCTTATTATGGCTCAGAACTTTACTGGAAGACAATTGTTTATCTTAACTTGGCTAGCTAGCACTTCTCTGACACATCATGTGCAATCCCATCTGTTAATGTCTGCTACATTAAACTTTTGTTTTATTGTATGATATTCTCTTGCTCTCAATGTCATTAGAGGGTCCATGACCCACTAGACTGCAGCCCTGAAATCACAGACAGCTTACATTCAAAGGGCTTTCCTGGGACTGAGCTCAAATAACATGGTACTATAATTTGTCATAGGAGTCCTACCCAAACACACAAGAAAGTCGAAACTCACAAAAGGTGGCTCCAAAAGATGTTTACCGAGCCTTAGAATGGCCGAACTTAACACATTAATACAGCAAGAAACAAGATCAAGATAAATCAAGACAAAGCTGAGTCAGTATACCAGAAACCACAAGTCAAATATGAATGCTACACAATTCTATTAAAAAAATTAAATCCAAAGAGATTGAATCAAGGATTCTCAAATACACCATTTATAGGCTACAGCTGCATTATTGATTTATCTGCATAGGATTATTTCATTTCATAAAGAACTATCAGTATATGGCCCACGAGGAGATATAAATAGTCTTTTCTTTTTTTAATTTTGTGTATTTTTCAGCATGTACCTTATACATTTTTTATTTTTTTGGGCAGCCTACATTGTTGAACTTATAGGTATTGGAAATAGAACCATGTTAGAAATGTATACCCGCTTTTCCTGTACAAATCATAGACGACTACCTCATTTGGATAGCAATACAAAATTACCCAGTAAATCATCCAGTGAAAATTTGGAATTTAAAAATCTAAAATCGCCATTACTATATGGGTGGTAAAAATATGTGGACTTTACTGTAGTGGGACACATATGATCTGTGAAATTAACCGTAAAATTTAAACACGTGTGAAAAGCACAAAAAAAATTAATATTATCCGAAGTTTGGGCTGGGTTGGTGATGAAATGGTTAGATGAAAACAGTCAAAATGCTTTTAGTTGAAGAAACAAACAACGGCCATAAATATAAATATGTTTGTGTGTGTAATATGTTTATAAGTGTGTGTGTATATATGTATATATATAATTTTACATAGTGCCTCTGTTTCTCACACCTAATACCAGTATGGAACGACCCAAAGGATTGATGGCTGATGGCACCAGCAGATTTACCTGCAAGGGAAAAAAAATATATAATTTCCTAAACACCAGCACATTTACTGAATATACTGTCATTGATGAAATTGCAGCTGTTAAAATTGATGAAAACACAGCATTGGATAATATCTCTCTTATTGGATGTGGTTTTTCTACTGGTTATGGTTCTGCTTTGAATGCAGCCAAGGTATGTCTGCTTGCTTGTTTGCAGTAGTGCAGCAACAGATGACGTATATATTGTATACAGTTGTGCTCAAAAGTTTGCATACGCCTGGTAACATATGTACCCCTTTTAAAGAAAACATTAGTGAGCAGGCAAAACACATTTTTTTTTCTTATGGGATTCTTATTCAACTGTAGGAATGGCACAATCATAAAACAAAACATGGCAACAAATTTTAAAATTTTAAATTACCCCTGTTCAAAAGTCTGCATACTCTTAATTCTTGTAATACTGTGTATTGCCCTCTTTAGCATCAATTGCAGCATGCAGTCTTTTGTAATAGTTGTCTATGAGGCCCCACATTCTTGCGGGTGGTATAGTCTTTGGTCATTTTGCATGAACCACACGTTTAAGATCTTCCCAGAGTGGCTCGATGATATTAAGGTCAGGAGATAGCCACTCCAGAACCTTTATCTTTTTCTGCTGTAATTACTGGAGTGTCAACTTGGCCTTGTACTTAGTGTCACTATAATTCCTGAAAGTCCAAAAGCAACCCATGCGCAGCCTTCATGCATAGGAATGCAAATTGTCTACCAGTATTTTCTGATAATATGCTGCATTCATCTTGCCATTAATTTTTACAAGATTCTCCATGCCTTTAGAAACATAGAATGTGACGTCAGATAAGAACCATTCGGCCCATCTAGTCTGCCCAATTTTCAAAATACTTTCATTAGTCCCTGTCCTTATCTTCTAGCTAGGATAGCCTTATGCCTATTCCACGCATGCTTAAACTCCTTTAGTGTTACCCTCTACCACGTCAGCTGGAAGGCTATTCCATGCATCCACTACCCTCTCAGTAAAGTAATACTTCCTGTTATCATTTTAAAACCTGTGCCCCTCTAACTTAAGACTGTGTTCACACCCCTCCAAAACACCAGTGAGCTAGCACCATGTTTCACAGTGAGGATGTATTCTTTTCACTGTAGGGCTTGTTGACCCCTCTCTAAACATAGCGCTTATGGTTGTGACCATAAAGCTCTATGTGAGCTATGTGAAGGTGTTGTCATGTATATTGTAACAGGGATTTTTTGTTGCATTGGCGCAGTAAAGGCTTCTTTATGGGAACTTCACCATATAGCTCATTTTTGTTCAAGCATCGTCGTATTGTGCTCTATGAGACAACCACACCATCTTTTTCCAGAGCAGCCTGTATTTTTCATGAGGTTACCTGTGGGTTTTTCTTTGTATCCCGAATAATTCTACTGGCAGTTGTGGCTGAAATTTTTCTTAGTCTACCTGACCTTGATTTGGCATCAAGAGATCCCTGAATTTACCTCTTAATAAGTGATTGAACAGTACTGACTGTCATTTTCAAGGCTTTGCATATCTTTGTATATCATTTTCCATCTTTATAAAGTTCCATTACCTTGTTACGCAGGTCTTTTGACATTTCTTTTCTGCTCCCCATCGCTCCGTATCTAGCCTGCTCACTGCATCCTTGTGAGAACTTACAGACTCATTGATTATTCATACGCAGATAGTAATTGCAATTTAAAAAGCCTCATTTAATTGCAATTTTAACCTGTGTGTGTCACCTTGTGTGTTTGTAACAATGCCACACATTCAAGGATATGTAAACTTTTGATCAGGGCCATTTAGATGATTTCTGTTATGACTATGATTTAAAAAGGAGCCAAATACCTATGTGATAATAAATGGCTTCATATGATCGCTAACCTCCAATAAAATATTTTTTTTGCATGATCAGTCATATTTTCAAAATCAATGCCAAAATTTCACAATTTCTGCCAGGTTAAATTGCCAGAAAAATATAGCTAAATGTTCATAGAGTAGAAATCTTATTATAAATTCCTCAATTCATAATATGAGCCAATATATTCTTTCGATTCATTGATCCCCAGCAATAGATCACCAATTCATTGTTTGCACACCAGCCATATTCCACCTTGATCCGACTATTATTAGTATTTTTTATTTATTTATTTACAGACTATTTCTTCCAAATACAACCTCCATAATATTAACCCAATTTATTGCTCCCAAGCAACCTGGTTTAAGCATACAAGGGATATGTATAAGGGTATGCTAGCCTTAAGATAAGGCCAGGGACTAATTAAAGTATTTAGAAAATTGGGCAGACTAGATGGGCCAAACGGCTCTTATCTGCCATCACATTCTATGATTCATAGTTCCAGTTTCTCTTTTATTAGACTTATGAGTAAAATCTCTCACTGTAGTTTGAGAGTGATTTCTTCTAGTAAGGTTATAAGGTAATGTACATCAAATATATGTTACCTTCATCTTGGATTACTTAGACTTATTTTCACTTTCAAAAGAATCATGACCTAAATGTCACTAAGCAATGAATAGCATAGAGATTTCTATAGAACTCACTCTTTTCTATATTTTGTGCAGGTACATCCAGGGTCTTCATGTGCTGTGTTTGGTTTGGGTGGTGTTGGACTTGCTGCTGTCATGGGCTGTAAAGCAGCTGGTGCGTCCCGTATAATTGGAGTGGATATTAATAAGGGCAAGTTTGGCCTGGCTAAAGAATTAGGAGCAACTGAGTGCATCAACCCCAAAGATTACGACAAACCTATCCAGCAGGTTCTTGTAGAGCAGACTGGTGGTGGTTTGGATTATGTATTTGAATGCATTGGGGACACAGAAACTATGGTATGTGGAGCTAACATAGCCCTGAATAATATAATGGTCTAATATCTAATGCCGGAAAAATGCGTTAAAAATAAGATTAACGATACGATTTTACATCCTATATTCCACTTCAAATATTCTGCTAAGAAAATAATTACTTGCTTGATATTTAAGAAGGTTCTTTTACAAAATCAAAGCATTGTATGGACATATTTAATGTTTGTATTCACAACACCAAATCCATCATTGAACCAAAGTATATCTCAGAAAGTTGCTAGATGGAATAGGTTCTTTTACCCCTTCTGTCCAACAACGGAGTTTAAAGCGGCACTGTCATGGTTGCATCCATTTTTTTTAACCGCCACTCCCGACTCCACATCTATTTTCGCCCCTACACACACCCAAATGCCCCTAGGCATATTACCTTTTTTAATCTTTATTTTGTGGCCGGACCTAGGTCCTGGGTGCCGCCATCTTTGTGTGGGTAGATGAAGGCCCTGTGGGCACATCATCTGCCCACACTAGATAGCATTGTAAAATTACCGGGCATGCCCAGTTAAACATTGTCTGAATTTTGGACGGGAAGTTTGTATATTCATTCGTCAGAAAGACGAATGAATAGAAACATCTGACGAACAAACAAACACAGAATATCGGTGTTCGTTTGTTTGTTCGTTTAGTTTATTACAAGGAGGGAGCTAGCAGCAAGCAGCTCCCTCCTTGTAATATTTAAACATAGAAGCAGCAGGAAGCAGTGCTACCCGCCACTTCCTAAGCCCCCCCCCCATGTCCTCCTTTACTCTATGGGGGTCAACATAGCACAAGGGAGACTGAAATCTCCAGAATGCCCCTACTCGCTAGGCCAGCGTATTGTGGCATGTCTATTAAACAGTGAGCAGCCTGTGGCTACTAACTGTTAAAAAAAAGTGTTATTTTGGTGGCATCTATTAACTAGCAGTGGAGATAAAGTGTCCCCCCCAAGAGCCCAACAGTGCCCCGCGAGTGGGGGCTATTCAACTAAATGGTGGACATAGGGCCCTAAATGACAATAGGGGAGACCTATTTTCTTCCCCCCCTCCACCCATGAGCGGTAGGTGGGGGCTCTAAATGACAATGGGGGAGACCTATTGTCCTACCCTCTGACTCATGAGCAGCAGGTGGGGGCCATAAATTACAATAAGAGGGGATCTATTATCCCCCCCAGTTCTCACCCATGATTGTCGGGTGGAGGCCTTAAATTACAATATGGGGGAAGTATTCTCCCCCCAGGCCCCCACTCATGAGTGGCGGGTAGGGACCCTAAAAGACCGTGGGGGGGACCTATTGTTTCCCCCCCACCACCCCCACCCACGGGCGACAGGTGAGGGCTAAATGAAAAAAACAAAAAACCTCCCTGCAGGTGACTAGGGGGCCCCAAGCCCCTAGACATCCCCCACACCCAAAAAAATTAAATAAAGCCCTAACTATTCCCCTCACCCTAAAAACGAGTGGGAAATTCTATTTTGATATGAATATAGAAACTTTAAAGGTTGATTTGTTATGACAGAATTATGAAAATGTTATTGAATTGAATGAAAGAGGCAGATATATTACCACGTCATACTTAAAATGAAGGAATAAAAATTAAACTGTAATTATAGTGTTAAGCTTTCCACTTAAATGTTATATTTGCATTTCTTCCATTCCTCCTTTTTGCATCATAAATAGAAATGTAGTACTTACTTTTACTCCACAGGTCGCAGCTATAAATTCCAGCCACCATGGCTTTGGAACAACTGTGATCGTTGGTGTATCTGCAGCAAACAAAACTATCACGTTTGACCCAATGATCTTTCTTACTGGACGTACACTAACAGGATCTGTTTTTGGAGGTATAATTAATTATTGGGGAGTTATTACATGTGTATTACTACTACTAACATTTTTTAATAGTTTAATAATTTGCTTTTGCAACTGTCTCATGTTATATTAATAAGGCTGACAGTACTTGTAGGGTAAACTGAAAAAATCTCTATGAAGGGCTTCATTTTTTTTGGCAGCAGACTAAGCTAGGCATATGTTCATGGTAAAGACTGCAAGTGACAAAAGTTGGTTGCATTGTGCAGATTTATTCTACGAGAAGCAGAATTACTAAACTGAGTGCCCACTGGAGTTAATGGAAGTCTTTTCCAGGCTAAAATCATGAGAAACATAAAAATAGAAACATCAGTTAAAGGACAGGATTAATTGCATTTAGGATTTAACTTCAGGCCTCCCAACTATCCCATTTATGATGAGTCAGTCCCGATTTTAGGGCCCTGTCCTGTGAGCCGCTTTTAGGGACACCAGAGAACTGACATGAAAAATCATAGTGCAAACACATCATTAGATGCAGTTGCTCCATGCTAGGACCATTCGAAGAGCACTAAAACAAATAAACTGGCCTTTGTGATTAGCAGACATCCTGGCGTGCATTCATGCCAGTCTGAGCTGCTAGTTCTTTAGGTTTACCCACTCATATTTTGGATGTGTCCATCCTTTTTGGGCAGCACAAGTGGTGCAATTTGTTTCACTGGCCCACCTCCTTTCAGCATCCTGATTCACACACCGATGTTGGGGGTCATTGGACTCTGAAGCATCCTACTAATCAAAGCTGTAACGTGAAGCCATGCAGTGTTAGTAGAGCTGATAATTCAAAGGGTTTCCCCAAAGCATGTACTTTTTATACTTAGAGTACTGTTTACTGAGATTTGGGACGTTATCATTGAACACAAATGTCTGTGGCAATCTACCACCATGCAGACCAAAAACGAAATGTGAAATGCAATCCAAACACATGCAGTTTGAGTCTCAAAATATATGATGCTAATGAGTTTTTAAAGTGATTTTCAATTTATAACAAAATATGTGCTTTTTAGGTTGGAAGCCAAAGGATTCTGTCCCTAAACTGGTTCATGATTACATGGAAAAAAAGTTTGATCTGGACAAGCTGGTGACACATAGACTACCTTTTGAAAAAATCAATGAAGGATTTGATTATTTGCGTAAAGGAAAAAGGTATTTATTTCTGCATTGTAGTTTATTGATAGACAGGAGCAGAACCCAAAGCATGCCCTACTTATTGTTTGTTACTGCAAACTATTAATCATATTTTAAGGTGTAGCATGCATGTGTAGCAGTTTAAAAGAAACACTCCATTACCATAAAACGTTGACTGATTTATGCTGTTATAGAGCAGGAGTGTCTGGACGCCATCTTATCATCAGATGATACTCTCAACTTATCATAGGCATCCCACTTAGAGAAATAGTATAGTTAAACATTCTACAGTTGAGGAAGGCTGCAGTGTTGGCACCAGAGTCCCGAGTTTGGAGTTAAACCATTGCAAAGCAGTTAACCCCTTAATGTAAGGTGGCGCCTGGACACTCCAGTCCCCATGACAACTCAATAACCTGAAGTTGTTATAAAGGTGGGTGTGCTCCTTTAAATTTAAATTAATCAAATATTATTTAGATGTGTACAAGTGTCTCATTACTAAAATTATTGATAATGAGAATTAATTTTATTAGCATTGTTATTATTATTAATAGCATAATTACAAACAAAATAATGCTGACAGAAACAAAAATAAAAATGGCCCACACAAACATAACTAATCTAGAAACATATTACTGTTAACAGTTTACAAAACTCAATATTTTCCAGCAAGCAGAAGGTGAAAACGCCACATAAAGTACTAAAAATCAAAGCCTTACAGGTGAAACTAAATAAAAACGTCTAATAAAAAAAAATACATTACTGGTTCACTCTCAAGGAATCAAGGGAATAAAATAGGGCTATATAGTACAGTAAAGACTAACATGCTACAGAAAGGAAATATAAGATAGCTTAAAGGGACACTATAGTCACCAGAACAACTACAGCTTATTGAATTTGTTCTGGTGAGTAGAATCATTACCTTCAGGCTTTGTGCTGTAAACACTGTCTTTTCAGAGAAAATGCAGTGTTTACATTACAGCCTAGTGATAACTTCACTGGCCACTCCTCAGATGGCTGTTAGAGATCCTTCTTGGGTCATGGCTGCCTAAAATGCATCCAAACATTCAGTGTCTCCTCCCTCTGCATGCAGACACTGGACTTTCCTCATAGAGATTCATTGATTCAATTCATCTATATGAGGAGATGCTGATTGGCCAGGACTGTGTTTGAATCATGCTGGCTCTGCCCCTGATCTGCCTCTTTGTCAGTCTCAGACAATCCTATGGGGAAGCACTGTGATTGGATCAGGCTACCACCTCTCATGATGTCAGCAGACTGCTTGTTTTTTTTTTTAGGCAAACAGCATGCAGATTTACAGCTTCTGGCTTGAATACAGTAAGATTTTGCTATATTTATGGAGGCATGAGGGGTTCAGGGGGGCTAGATGTTGGTTTTAATGCTATAGGGTAAGGAATACATGTTTGTGTTCCTGATCCTATAGTGATCCTTTAAAATCTACCTCTAGATGTCAGTGTATAGCACTGCTAGCAAAATAGGAGCAGGAGAAATAAACCTATTTTACTGGAAATAATAGAGGATCGCTAATAATAGATTTCCTAATGATGATGTCTATCTATCACTTCAAAAACGAAATTATCTGAAATCACAAGAGAGTACAGCACACACACACATATATATATATATATATATATATATATATATATATATAGCAAAAAGAGCTACATCCTACTAAAGAAATTGCATGATCAGAAGATACTCCATAGACACAAGACAGGTTGCATATCTCAATACCTCAATTAAAATTATCATCATCAAAATCAACACTATGTTTGTAAACTGGCAGCTGAAATGTTCTGCATTTGTATTCCCACTTACTAGGCTTTTCAGAGGGAAGTGAAAATGTATTCAAATGAATTAAAAAGATAGGAAAAAAATCAAACAAAGCAAGTGGATATTTCCCATTGAAAAATAGAGAGGGAGTAGGGGATTACGATTTAAATAGCACTCAGTCTGGATCAAGGTACACCAACCCCTCAATGTACAAAAAAAATAATATCCAACTAAAATATTTAGTAAGATTGCCATAAGCCAATATATAGATAATACAATGAAATACGATAGAGATAGCAGCAAGTGGCTAAAAATAAATTCAATACGAAGAATACAATTAACAATATCATAGTTAGTATACATAAAAATACACATGTAAAAAATATTTCAATATCAGTTGGCTAATAGAGGACAGGAAAGTGATAAAAAATGGCGCTGGTGATCAAGTAGTGCTGCTGTGAACCGTGGAATCAACCACTAAATCCCACCAAATACAGAAAAGGATAAAACAAAAGAAGGTTCAGCGCTCTACTAATAAACAATACAGGTGCACAGTGTACTATAAGTGCAATAAACAAAGAAAACACATACACTTAAAATGGACTTTATCCACAGAGATCACTATAAAACATAAAGCCTCACATAGGCAATATAGTCTGTATGATATCCACACTGTATTAATATGTTTGTAACATCCTACTCACATGTTAATGATAGCAAAAACAAACAAAGATATAAGGATGCGCCTAAAACTTAAAACTATGATAAAATATAGGACTAAATTAGTCAGATAAAATACAGAATAAAATAAGTGATAAAACAATAGTCCAATAAAATAGGCTTATCACAGTCCGTGAGGGTAGGTCCCACTTGTAAAGGAATATTCTTTAGGGTGTAGATGGGATCGTATCTTCAAATGTTGAAAATTCAGCATATGTGGAGAGAAAAATAAAAACAGGACTCCAATGGCACAGTAAATCAGTATATAAAATAAATATAAAAGCATAAAATCAGTCTTACTCACACTTTTCAGAGCTAGGATCAGCTCTGATATTGCTCGCGTAAAGTGGAATGACCCCCACTTCAAGGATATATGGAGTGAATTTTGATAGTTGAATATCTGACGTGGATTCAGCGTTCAATTTGACGTAATACGACCCAGAGGAAAAAATGAAATAAAATATATAGTGCTCACTGTATGTAATCCAAAATTAAAAGTAAAGTAAAGTATACTACTCACGTAAAGTAGAGCAGACTCAAAACTGCTCAGTGAAGGCGCTCGGGTGGTATAATCCCCACCTATGGATTCTTTGCACTTCCTGCAGGGTGAGCCGTATACGTAAAATCAAATAAAAGAAAATGTATCTAAAATCAGGTAAAGGAGAAAGCAAATGGCAATAAAGTATTTTATGCCAATAAAATATCTTTATTATAAAATTAAGAACAAAATCTATTAGTATCTAAACACGTTTCGCCTTAACAGGCTTCTTCAAGTAGATAGTAGGAAAGAGGGGGGGCATACCTGACATACATAAGCTTATATAGTGTGTAATAGTACTTTAAATTTAAAATTCCCGCCAAAATGACGTCATAAAATTAGCATATAGATAATACAGGGAAGTTATTATAAAACAGTTATTGCACACATAAAATTAACAATACAATGATAAAAAGCATATTTGCATTATTTAAATATTAAAACGAAGGTTATAATTTACTTTTTAAATAAAAAAAGACCGATCACGTGACGCGCGATAAGAAGTACTTCCGCGTCACGTGATGCTCTGTGGAACGCATGCGTCATTAAGGCATATAGTATAAAGGGGAGCTGTCTGGCCTCACTCAAAGTGGAGAAGATAAGAGGTGGAGCCGTTTATATACAAGAGCAGGCAGGCGGCTGTGGCAAGCAGCCTTCTTCAGGTGCATGTTCCAGTTGGCTGATGTTTTACAGATGCTATATTTTACAGCATGTTGAATTAAGACAGTAATAGTATTTTTTAAATGGTTTGTAAGAAAGTGTGTAGCTATTTTATGTTGGACCTAAGTGTCCAGTCGGACTTCTATTTGTTAGATTATGTCGTCCTATGCAGCCAATAACAAAAAAAAAAACAGAAACATTATTGTTTACATGTGTGTCCTACGATGCTGCACTTTAATTCTGGCTTTACAACCAATAAAAGTTAATTCACAAAAACATGTAAAATAAATAGGATAAATATAATAAGCAAAAGTTGGGCAAACTACCAATGTTAAAAGGCTAAAAGTCTATTAGAATAAAGTCCACAGAAAATGTAGCAATATGGATCTGAATACTGATGCAACATGCAATGTTGCAAAAATGTAACAATCAGACCTCTTTGGTCAATTCTATAGTAGTTGGTATTTGGTCAGGGAAGCCAAAGATCACCTGAAATTAGAAAAAAAGATCCATAGTGCCCATTATATATATATATATATATATATATATATATATATATCTTTATTATCAAATGGAATTAAAACACTCACATTGATACTGTAATGGAGAGCCACATAGGGGTTAGCCCCGACATGGAAGTCAGCCTTACAATTCGTTGATTGATCTTGAGCCTGGTCAAGAGGGATAGGAGCTGCAGTCAACCCACCATACAGACCAGTGTCAACGGCCGAACTGGGAAGCATTGGGAGGCTTTATTATTAAATAGAATTAAAACACTCACATCGATACTGTAATGGAGAGCCACATAGGGGTTAGACTCCGACGTGGAAGTCAACCTTACAATTTGTTGATTGGTCTTGAGCCTGGTCAAGAGGAATAGGTGCTGCAGTCAACCCACCATACAGACCAGTGTCAACGGCCGAACTGGGAAGCATTGGGAGGCCAGTGCACATGTGTGGCACTGTAAAAATCAGCATCTCTTCAGTTTCAGTTTCAGAGAAACTGCTATGTTTATAAATGGGTTAATCCAGCCCTCAAAGCCTATAGTGGCTGTCACTGTGTGAAAATCACAGTGAGAACACGCAAGCATCCATAGGAAAGCATTATGAATGCTTTCCTATGAGACCGGCTGAATGCGCGTGCAGCTCTTGCCGCGCGTGCCCATTCAGCCGAATGGGAGGAGAGGAGGAGGATCGGAGGCGGAGAGCTCCCCGCCCAGTGCTGGAGAAAGGTAAGTTTTAACCCCTTTACCCAGAGCACGGTGGGAGGGGGACCCTGAGGGTGGGGGCACCCTCAGGGCACTATAGTGGTCCTTTAACCACAGATGTTATATGTAGCTTCTTAATCATTTTTAAAAATAGAACCATACTATAAATTTCAGAAAAGTTAAGAGTATCCTACCTTTTTGGTTTGAGTTGAATGAGGGGATTGAAGTTTGAACATTTTTTTATCAAATAGGAACATCCAGTATTGGAGATACCAATAATATTATACTCATAATGCCACCTCTTTAGCATCCTATATGTCCTTTTTTGCATGTTTCAGCATGTAATGTTAGCCTTTGTCCAAAAAAAAATATCTTTAACTCATTCAAAGTTGTTAAAATTGGTAGTGTGAAAAAACAACAACATATGAGCATTAGTTTAAAGTTGTAAAGGTTGAAAATCTTAACTTTAACTCACACAAAGGTATTCTCTCTTAAGTGCCTAATTAGTCAAAACATGTGTCATGCTTGTCTACAAACATAGGATAGTGCTGATTGGAATGAATTTACTGAGATACAGATGGTCTTCCTCATCTAGCACAGTACAATTTGTTCTTTAGGATAGCTGATATTGCAGTTTACAAATTGTTTCATCTACACATTATTTATATATATATATATATATATATATATATATATATATATATATATATATATTTATTTTCATTTTCTGTTCTCGTGATTTTAAAATATTTAGTTTCGAAATGATAAGTAGATTGATTGTTATAAGAGACTATAATTTGCAGTACAACATACTGTTTTTTTTTTTTTATCTGTCTCCTATCACAATTGTAGCACTCTACAGTATACTTTATGCTAGGGGTAGATTTTCAGCCATCCTATGCCTTATTTTTTTACGCTGTGTAGCTCACTATTTAATTAAAATATAAATACATTGCTTCTCTATCACTTAAACAAGGAAATAAAATAAGACTTACACCCTTGCAGTAGTACATTTCTTTTCATTATAACATTATACGTTGTATTTTTTCCTGGCAAACCTTTTCTAGTATAACTGTTTATTATAAAGGTCACCCCCTTGTGTTTATTCAACACAACATAGTGTTTAGTTAATAAACACTATAATCTTAGATTAGTACTTTGCCCTTAATTCTGGTTATTAAATCATAAATTGTGTGGCACAGCAAGCACCCTTTGATCCAGGAGTGGTTGCTGATGGGGGGGAAACATATTGCATTATGCAATGTGCACAATTAAAATATTTCAACCTACAATGAACCAATAACAATCAGCTTAATCCCAATCTGGTCTGTGTTAATTAAGGGAGCACTATAGGGTCAGGAACACAAACATGTATTCCTGACCCTTTAGGGTTAAAACCACCACCTAGCCCCCTGGTTCTCTCATGCCTCCCTAAATATAGTAAAATGTTACCGGTAGCTGCTTACATGTCCGTGTTTCCATTAGACCTGCCCACTGCCTGCTGACATCAGCAGAAATGGTTACCTATTCCAATCACAATGCTTCCCCATAGGATTGGCTGAGACTGACAAAGAAGCAGATCAGGGGCAGAGCCAGCACAATTCAAGCACATCCCTGGCCCATCAGCATCTCCCCTTAGAGATAAATTGAATCAATGAATCTCTATGAGGAAAGTTCAGTGTCTGCATTCAGAGGGAGGAGACACTGAATGTTTGGATGCATTTTAGGCAGCCATGACCCAGGAAGGATCTCTAACAGCCATCTGAGGAGTGGCCAGTGAAGCTATCACTAGGCTGTAATGTAAACACTGCATTTTCTCTAAAAAGACAGTGTTTACAACAAAAAGCCTGAAGGTAATGATTCTACTCACCAGAACAAATTCAATAAGCTGTAGTTGTTCTGGTGACTATAGTGTCCCTTTAAATCTTCAGTAAATTAGAGCACAATTGTCCTAGTATTTACCATCATCAGAATCATGTTAAAGTGCAAGTAGTAGATTAAAAGCCAATATATATATGGACTCAATTGTTATTGTAATAAATACTGTCATTGCTCCTACTAGCCATTAGAATTTCTGCATCATTACTTGACGCTACATTTTATTTTACTTTGCAGCATTCGGACAATCTTGAGATTTTAAAAATCAGATCAACAGAGTTGCTTCTACAAACGTCTTACCTTTCAAAACCTGGTCAATTTAGGAATCTGAATATATGCTTATAAAAATTATATGCTGTTTGCAAACAAATAAAAGACACATTTTGTGATTTTATTTTCTGCTTTTGTTCATTATTTTACATTTTCTGAAAAGGGAAAAAAATGGATCAAACTGGAGCTCACACAGTTAGACAAGTCATATAAGAGGTAACACTTGAAAGACACATACAAGACAACCCTAGTGATATAATTACGCAAAATATACATATATTTAGAACTTCAAACTTTGAGCTCCCAAGCCGCTGGCCAGGTTTAATGGATATACAAAAATAGGAGAAGCTCTGATAAGGAAAAAGAATGCAAACCAACATAGCATATAACTGTGTTTAATAAAGCATAATAATATAGCTTTTTCAATAGGCCACTCACACTTTATATGTCAATATAGTGCCTAGTAAGTGATTTCCAATTAAATGGATGTATCTTCAGATGTCCAGACCAATATAAACCCTGAGCAATGATGAGCCATAAACTCAAAGATAAGAAATTGCTCAATTGTAATGCAAATAGGTGTAACAATTTATTCACTAGCATAAATGTAAAAAAACAGCAAGTTAATCAGAAAGAGTAACCACAAGTAGTCCTACTCGTTTCGTCCATACAAGAGACTTCCTCAGGGACCATTCAAGTGCAAGCAGGATCAAAAAATAAATACAGAACCCCATCTCTCTAGCATCCTTTTAAATCCCTTTGATTGTATTTTCCTGTTTCTCATTGGTGCCTCCATCCCATAGCTATGTTCAATTTTCTAGTCCTAATGATTTCCAGGCGCACTGACGTCATCATGCATTCCATTCAGAGAAACCGTAAGTTTGCGTTTCAGCTCGCGTTCCACTTCAAAATTCGAGTGTATCCCGGAGTTCTTGTTTCCAGAAATCACTCACATGTGTGGAGGTAAGAAAAGAAATGGGAGAGGTGCAGAAGGTTATGCATTTCAATCTAACATAGTAACTTATTGTACACATAGAAAAAAGGAGATATAGATATGGGTACATGGGATTTATTACCAACAACAGTGAAAAAAAGCTTTAGGAGACATACCTATTTTTTATTGTAATTGCACTATTCTGTATGAACAAAACATCTGATTCTAAACACAAAACTTAAATGTAAAAACTCCAAAACAAATGGTTTTACTTATTGCACTATGTGCAAAGGTTGTAAAGCTCATAGATTATTATGAATAAAATAATGTAAAAGTACAGCTGCAGGCAAATAATTTTACATAAAATCTAAAATAAATTGTAACACTAAAGATGTTATGTATTTACTGCAGCATGTGGGAAGAACATGTATTAAACTAAAAGAAAGAATACTGGAACATCAAAACCATATTAAAAAAATATTTTAATAAACACATAGTTCCTGTACATTTAATAGCTGTCAGAAATGTAATTGGAATTTTGTTTTTATTATTTAAATATAGAACAAATTGAGACCCATTGGAGAGAAAGGGGCAAAATTACACATTATCACATTTTTTGTACATTTGCGCTTTTCCTAAAAGAATGAAGGATTTGTTAGTATATATATATATTTATTTATTTATATATATATTTATATTATGGAAAATGTATTTTTAAAATTCTTTATTTTTGTGGTGCGTGTGAAGATCATCATTTAATAAAAGACATTTCTAGAAAACCAAGGTTATCACGTTTAGGTAAACAGGGTAAGTCAAGGTTTACAGAACCTTTTTTGTATATGTATATACATTAGGAAAACAGGCATGCCATAAGAGAGGATCAAATAATACCATAGGTAAAGGTAGGCATCAGACATGTATATTGCAGGATTGATCATTAGAAGTACGCGATTATAACAAGAGACATTAAATAACTAAAAAAGAAAAAAGGAGAGCCTAGATATAAAATATGAAGCACGAATAAGGGTAGAAACAAAATGGGGGGTAACCCATAAATGGGGAATTTATATGAATACAGAAAAGAAAAGAAAAAAACTACCATAAAGTGTCTCAACATTTTGGTAAATATAGTCACAATTAAATGAGCATAAAAAATAACTTTTAATGGATATATTAAAATGTTAAATAGAAAAGATAAAAGCAAAACAAAAAAGCACAAGGCTACAAAATAATATGTCCTATAAACTAGTTGGGTTATTAAACCTCCAATAGAACCAATAGCAAGAGAAGTGTTGCTTCAAAGAAATACTTATTGGAGTAAAGTAAAACTACTTGCTATGAACAATGTGACTGAATTCTAAATAGGAAAGTGGGATACTAGTATCTTCTAAACTCTTCCTGCAGAACAGGGTAGGTTGAATATAGATGAAATGCCTCTAGTGCACAAGGGGTTAAACAGCACAACAGTTGGTTGCAATGGTTAATAGAAAAGAGGCAGGGAATACCTGTAAAATAAAGAGGTATAGGAGACAGTTGCAAGATAGGTTAGATATAATGGTCAGTAGAAATATAGAGACTATAGGTAATCCTGATGCTTGCTAGCAAGAGAGATGTAAATACAAAGAGATACTTTAATAGTAAAAAGTTAAGCCACTTTCTATAAACAATGTCATTGAATTCAAGATGGGAGGGTATGGTATTAGTATCCTCTTAACTCCTCCTGCAAAACAGGGTCTACTGTATATAGATAAAGTACCTCTAATACACAAGAGGTTAAACAATACACCAATATGGTTGCAATAGTTAATAAAGAAGAGGCAGAGAATACCTGTAAAGAGAGAGGTGTAGGAGGCAGTAGCAAGCTAGGATTATATACAAAAACACAATATGTGCTGGCACTCAATTATGCAAGGTGCAGGTATTCGAGGTTTAACCCCACAACAACCTCCTAATCTAAATCACAAACAAATATGAATACCGCACTCAAAACGATTATAGTAAAATCTAATACTGTATTTACTTGCAAAAATATTTATTGTAATAATTATTCGATAAATTCATGTAGTTAATCATAATGACACTCATTTCATCCTATATACATAGATTATATACATATAGGCACTTAGATTTTCTATCTTACAAGCATCAGGATTACCTATATTTTCTACATCTCTATTTATCATTGCATCTAATCCTAGCTTGCAAACAAATATGAATACCGCACTCAAAACGATTATAGTAAAATCTAATCCTGTATTTACTTGCAAAAATATTTATTGTAATAATTATTCGATAAATTCATGAAGTTAATCATAATGACACTCATTTCATTCTATATACATAGATTTTACTATAATCGTTTTGAGTGCGGTATTCATATTTGTTTGCAAGCTAGGATTAGATGCAATGATAAATAGAGATGTAGAAAATATAGGTAATCCTGATGCTTGTAAGATAGAAAATCTAAGTGCCTTCGAGGGCACCCCTTAATAAATGCCTATACTATATAGCACAACCCCCCAAAAAGGTGTGAATACAGAGAGATACTTAAATAGTAAAAAGTGAAGCCATTTGCTATAAATAATGTTCAAGATAGGAGGGTGGAGTATTAGTATCCTCTGAACTCCTCCTGCAGGACAGGGTCTGCTGTATATAGATGAAGTGTCTAATACACAAGAGGTTAAAACAGCACACCAATGTGGTTGCAATAGTTAATAGAGAAGAGGCAGAGAATACCTGTAAATAGGGAGGTATAGGAGGCAATAGCAAGCTAGGATTAGATACAATGATAAATAGAGATGTAGAAAATATAGGTAATCCTGACGCTTGTAAGATAGAAAAACTAAGTGCCTTCAAGGGCACCCCGTTAATAAATACCTTTACTATTTATCTCAACCCCCCAAAAAGGTGTAAATACAGAGAAAAACTTAAATAGTAAAAAGTGACGCCACTTGTTCAAGATAGGAGGGTGGAGTATTAGTATCCTCTGAACTCCTCCTGCAGGACAGGGTCTGCTGTATATAGATGAAGTATCTCTAATACACAAGAGGTTAAACAGCACACCAATGTGGTTGAAATAGTTAATAGAAAAGAGGCCTTGACATTCATTAGGCCCAGACCTTCTTCCTTCCGGCAGGTGTACAGTCTGTGGGTGCTGGATTTGGGGTGTATCCTCCATAGTGAGTAGTTTTCTGGTCTTGATATCCATGGTGACCAGTTCTTCTCTTGGCCAGGTTATTATTCCAGCTGGATACCTGATGGTATGGCATATGTGTTGATGGCTTGGATCTTGTTCTTGCCATTGAGCTTGGACTTCAGGACCTGTCTGACTCTTTGGAGGTACTTGGATGTTGCTATCCTCCTTGCCATGCATTTGTGGTACTCCCAGGTACTTGTAGCTGTTCTCTATATCTTCTATTTGGCCTTCTGGAACTTCAGCACCTTCTGTCCTGACCATCTTCCCTCTTTTTGCTATCATCCATCCACACTTCTCTAGTCCGAATGACATTCCGATGTACTTGCTGTATATCCTAGTTAGGTGGATCAGTGAGTCAATGTCCCGCTCATTCTTGGCATACAGCTTGATGTCATCCATGTAGAGCAGGTGGTTGATGGTAGCTCCACTCTTGAACCTGTATCCGTATCCACTCTTCTTGATGATCTGGCTAAGGGGGTTGAGGCCTATGCAGAAGAGCATCAGGGATAGTGGATCACCTTGGTATATGCCACATTTGTTGTTCACTTGAGTTATTGCAATTTGGTATTTGCTTCTAGCTGACCAACTCTTCATGTGTGCTGCACTCTGTTGGATATCTTCGACTGTAATGGTGACTGGTTCCTGTTCTGGCAGCATGCAGTGGTCTGGATTCAGGTCCAGTAGCCACTGTAAAAATATGTACAAAGGATCAGCCCTAATATACTAGACTTTACAGAGATCAATATAAGGTAGCACACCTGAAAAATCGGGCTGGTTGGTTCAATTACCAAAGCAAATAACAACGACAAGGGGCAACCCTGTCTAGTGCCATTGAGAATAAGGAAGGAGGAAAAGAGAGCCCTAAGTCCAATTCCACCAATGTACTAGACAAGGGACAGGGACCTTAAATCATTAAAGGAAAGCTCCTTAAAACACAAATATCTGCAAATGCCACAGGTATAAATATTTTCTTAATATCAGAATGTAACAACAA